CTTGTCCACGAGTCAGGGCAGCTGGAGCTTTTCCAACTGTGCTGAGAGCTGCATGGCGGCAAGCAGATTGGACCCACAACTTAGGTATACCTCACTTCTCGCAATGGGCTGTGTCCCTGGAGGGTTTCGAAAAGCGAATCCTACCCAGTAAATGCAGCATTCCAGGAACACCTTGAAGGAAATATGCGATTCCTTTGGCAAAGGGTTCTTTTAGCAGGGAATTCTTCCTGCAAAGGGAGCTTTTAGGGTAAATTATTTTGTGGGCAAAGCACTTCTGATTTATTTTTATGCAAAGCACTTTCGCCTGTAAAGAAATAAAACATTTTGACTTTTTTGGAAGCATTTTTCCCCTTACATTTTTCCTACAAAAGGCTTTTTCCTGTTTTTATTCAAAAGGCTTTTTCCTCTGTTTTTGTCCGGTTCAATTTTTTTCCGTTATCTCCTTTACCTATTTTTTTCCTGCAGTGTGCGTTCTGTGTAATGCGTTTTTTTTTTTTCTCCTACAAACTGCTTTTATCTAATTTCTTTTTCCTGCAATGCGCTTCCCCCCACACACACCCGTTGATTATGTTTTCTCTATTTTGTTCTCGGGTTCTTTTGTGAAGTTTTTTGTTTTTGTTTTTGTTTTGAGAAGTGCCCTTTTCAAACTTGAAAAGTGTCGTCCCAGTTTCGCAAGCTCTATATGATCGTGTGTATGTACATACATCTCTGTATATTTTTAAAGGAAATTAACCCGCAATGCGCAATTTTTTTAAGGCAAATTTTTTGTTAGGCGAGCTGTAAAGTCTTGAAACACACAAGTGCCCCGCCTCCCTCCTGGGGTTGAGTCTGGGTGTAGCGGGTTTTCTTACCACATAGGTCGCTAAAAGCCTTGGCGATCGTCTGCGGCGCCCGCCGCGCCCCGAGTCTTTGTTCCTGGCCTGGCGCGGGCGCACTGGGGAGGGTCTACATGAGGATGTGGGCGCGGGGAACCAGCGAGGGGCGTGCCGCAGCGGCACTTGGGCAGACAGGGGTCGCGGCAATTGGGATAGGGTGGGTCTGGCAGGCGGCAATCGCGACGCGGGTTTTCAGGTTTAGGGTGCACGCATCGGGAGTCCTCACCCACCGAGCCTCAGCACACTTACCTGTAGCAGCACGCGAAAGATGTACCAGCCAATGATGAGCAGTTCAGCCGAGGCTGCCGCCACTGCCGCCATGGTACCAAGTGGTGGGTGGGTGGTCGAAAGCAAGGGTTCTTGCCGCGGTCCACTGGTCTCCCGAAGTCCGCTGCTGGGCGCACTGCTGCAGCCGCGGCGGCTGCGCCTTAAGTACCCGCCTGCCACCTAAGTGCGCATGCGCGATCGGGGTGGTGGTTCGTGAGGAGGGGGAGCCGGGGGCGCTCCTCATTCGCTAGGAGAGAGAGGAAAAAAAATAATCCATCTACTCTTTCCACACCGACCCCTACCTCCTGAGTCCCATCTTAGACCCTTTCCAGAAGATTCCGCCGTGCCCGCTTTTGAATTCCAGTGTAAAATGGAGGGGCAACATGACTGCGTAGAGCACGGGGTAGGAGGTGCAAGCCCCTTAGTGTGGCGCCCCTCTTTCCAAGTCCTGATCTGCAAATTTGAGCTCAGCCCCGCACCAGAATGGACCTCTTCTACTATGGAAAATCGACTTTGGGGAGGGGTCATCTGCCCGATAAAGCAAAAAAGGTACCCTTTCCAGGAGCCACAGCTTCATAGGCCACTGCTCAGCATTCTTCCTGGTAGTGAGTTTTAAGCTTATGCCTTCTGCTTTGTGAGAGTCACTTTGTGTAACTAACTCTTTACTGATTTCTTCACATCCCGCCTCTTATGGTAGTGAGAATCAGGGTCTGCTGTGGTGGCAGTGGCTACTGTAGGGAGCTGGGCGAGGGAGCTACACGCTGGGTGAGAAAGCAGTAGTGTCTCTTGAGGGGTACGGGAAGGGTAGGTTCCTTTGTGTGTGAGAAAAGGAATGAACTCTAGACGTGGCTGGGAAGTCCGAAAGTGTTCGCGGATAGTTTTCCTCTGGACAGACCCTTTGAACCTCTGACTTCCGCTCCCCTCCCCCAGGCTCCGGTAGGTCAGCCTCAGCCAGCATGTTTCTTTGTACCCCTTTTGCTAGGCGGCTTTAGCAAGAACGGGGGTTTTGCTGTGGCTGCTAAAGGGTGTGGCTATTATAGCCCTCCTTCAAGGGGAGTCAAATACCTCTGAGTGCCTGTCTTTCGCGTTCCCAGTGGAGTGCAGGTTTTGCAGGTCCCACAGAGTGCAGATATCTTGTGGGTCCCTTCTGGAGCTGGGCTTTGTGGGTGGGAACCCAAAACAGTCTTCCAAGGGCGCCCTGGCACACTGGTGGCCCACCTAAAGTACTTCTCTTCAGCAAGCTGCCCGGCACAGGGACCAACTGGCATTTGCCCCTATGTGGGTAGGAAACTAGTTTTAATTAAAAGCTCCTAAAGGTCAGGTTCTATACAATGGTACCAGCAGATGGAGGTGTAATGATCCAATTTAGTTTGGACAAAGTAGCACAATGATTTTTCTGCCGACACTGACTTTGAAGAAGTTGGCTGGTTTTGGCAAAATGACATTGGGCTATTTGAAAAAGACAAACTCAGCCCAGGCTGCCATGTTTATACAAAATATTTGATGCCATCACTGCCATGGCTTCTAGGAGTTTGCCAGGATCCATCGTTTGCCTGCAGTGTACTCTGACTGCTTTAACTGGCTACTTTGCCAGAGCACAGCACCTACCAGGGCAGAGACTAGATACAAAACCCTTCTTTAGCACATGGGGGCGCAGCACAGAGCCCATGACAGTCCTGTGGCAACCACAGGGCGGTATTGTGAGGTCTGGACCCTTTGAGGACGGACTGCAGCCTCAGGAGGCAATACGTGATCCCTGCTGAGCAGGGTCCAGGCAAAGCCAGTACACTGTGTGGGATCGTGCCAGAGAGCTCTCGAGGTGCCCCCCACTAGTGGAAGCCCAGGGGAGATACCCTAGGAGTCTTCAAGGGAAACACTCCAGGAGGCTTCTGGAACTGGTGACTTGGAGGGATGAGTAGAACTTCCCATGGGTGGGGAGGGAGGAAAGGGCATTCACATTTGCTGTTGTTAACCATGATCCATCTTCCCAAATAAGTATACATTCTGTTCCTGTTTTTTTTGTTTTTTGTTTTTTGTTTTGTTTTGTTTGTCTGTCTGTTTTGTGTGTTTGTCTGTTGTGTTGACTTTTCTCTTCAGGATCCCTGCTGCCTTGGTGATCCCAGGCTGACAGCCAGAGAGCACAGCGGCTCAGCTCCTGGAGAGAGGGTTGAAGAAAGCAGAGGGCAGCCACCTGCACCCACTGGCTCCCATTAGGTCGGTTCCTGCAACGGTGGCCGGCAGCCTCGGTGAAGGCCCTGCCCGGCAGAGATCATGTATTGCCTCCAGTGGCTGCTGCCCGTCCTCCTCATCCCCAAGCCCCTCAACCCCGCCCTGTGGTTTAGCCACTCCATGTTCATGGGCTTCTACCTGCTCAGCTTTCTCCTGGAGCGGAAGCCTTGCACAATCTGTGCCTTGGTTTTCCTGGCAGCCCTGTTCCTCATCTGTTATAGCTGCTGGGGAAACTGTTTCCTGTACCACTGCACTGATTCTCCGCTTCCGAATTCGGCACATGACCCTGGTGTTGTGGGCACCTAACAGCCGTCCTGTTAGTGTTCCAAGGAAGCAGAAGACGGGAGGGGAGGCATTGACTTAGGTCATAAAGCATTGGAGTTTCAAATCCCGTAGCCCTGCGGGTATCACATTCCTGATGGCACCTTTTTGGCCTGTGATGTTTTATCCTTATAATGTGAATAATAGCACTGACCGGTGCTTTTATTGTAGAACCCTGTAGTTGTGGGTGGTCTTGTGATTGTATGTGTTCTGTCCCCATCTGGGTCCTGGCTGGCAGGATGGCCACCCCCTCGCTTCATTAATGCGAGGAATCTATACCCATCCTAGTCAACCATCCTGGGCTTGGCCTGAGCAGAGAAAATGCCAGTCTTATTGTCACTTCTGTGACCCCCTCCTTGTCAGAATCTCCCTCCTTTCTAGAGTGTTACTAACTCCTCAGTCCCTCTCCTAGTTTCCCTTTAGTTCTCTTCTCCTTTCCTTTTTTGGGGAGCACCTGTCCATGACAGGGCTCATTTTTGCACTTATCTCGAATTTGAAGAGATTGCTGACGCCCGAGAGCCTCGCTTTTTCATCCTTCTTCCCCTGTTCAGCAGGCTAGACAGATACATATACGTGATGACTGTTTGTTGTCCACAAGCCTCCAGTATTTTCTCCGCTTCATTTTTAACAGAAGCAGCAGATAAATTGTTGCTCTTTCACCTGGGTGCCTGGGCTCTTACTTTCCAGCCCAGTTTCGCTTCCTGTACCCTTCCTGCTGCCTTTCTCAGCTGTCCAGTGAAGGGGGCCTCCTTGTGTTTCCTGTGCATGCTCTGCAGGATGGAGGTATGATGTTTTCATGTAGACCTAGCAGTCCCCAGCTGAGTGAATGGAAAAGTATTTGTGTAATTCATAGTAGCCACAATTCCCTTGGTAGGTGTTTGGATATTTTTGATGTGCCCTGCGTGTGTGTGTGTGTGTGTGTGTGTGTGTGTGTGTGTGTGTGTGCGCCCGCGCGCGTGTGTGTGCACGTATGTGTGTATAAATACATGTGTATATTTCTTTTAAAGAAGCTTTAAAGAACATGTTCTGGTTTTGAGGTTGAGCAGTAGCTAGCTGTAGTAGGTGCCACTGCAGCTTTTATTTAGCATGGAGATTGCCAGGTGACCAGCACACTGGGCTTCAAGGTGGTTCAGAAAATACACAAGGAAGGGAGCAGTGGCCATCATCCTCCTGCCAGGAGCTTCTTCATTCCTGCTCATATAGGCTGTACCTTGAGAAGAAGACACAGGAAGACTTTGTGACTGTCACTTGCTTTTTTTTTTCTCTGCGCTTCAATAACAAGTGTTGGCAAACAAGACTTTCTTCTGGCGTCCACCCACTGGGGATCAGCATGATTGTCCTTCCAGTTGGAACCATCCCTCTCTCTTGCCTGTGGAGGGAGTAAGGTGGGCCAGGCAGAGGACAGAACTGGAGCCAGTCCATCTAGGGAATAAGACTGCAAGGCCACACTTGTGAAACATTTGGACTGCTGTTCTAGAGCTTTTTTTTTTTTTTTTTTTTTTGGTGTGTTCGTTGCACAGCTGTTTGAAATGTTTAATAAAGCTTTATAAACTTTACTTTGTGGTTTTATGTGGCTGCAGTCCATTTGGGTTGTGGTGTTGGATTTCTGAATTGGTTGGGGGACAGGAGGAAGGATGAAGGGGCTGAGTCCTTGGCGCCACAGTACCTTAGCCTAAAAATTTGATCTGCTCTCTGGAGAGCAGATGGTGGGTCTGGGGGAGGGAGAGAAGAAGGCAGGCCAGGCGGTAAACAGGAGGGAGTCTGAAAAGTTTTCAGAGATGAGACATTGGTGTTTCTCAGCTCCCATGGCTTCCCGCCTGAAATTGTTTCCCTCTGTAGGAGATCTGAGTAACTGATCCCTTGACAAACAACTTAAGACAGCTGGAGCTCTAATCATCAAGGATTTTTATGTGCTGCTTTTGAAGTAAAAATACAGTGAAACCCCTCATGGCATTTCAAGTGGAAAAATAAATAAGACTAACTGTCCGACCATCAGACTTCAGTGAGGCCAGAAGAACAAGAGTGGTGTGGATCCCTGTGGCAGATGTGTACACGCTCCCCTGGCCGTGACCTGTGAGACAAGGTGGGGAGGTCTGTCAGAGCCCTGTGCTGGGCATTCAACTTCGAGTCACTCCTTCCTTTCAGAAGGCATAGTAGGAGCACTGTCCACTCAAGGCACAGGGCTGCCGTGAAGAGTTACTGAGGTAAAAGTTGTGAAGGTCTTGGTAATTTTGAAATTCACTTTTCTTACCTAGACTTAATTCATTGCTATAAAGTTGTGTGTAGTTTTTCCTTAGTTTTTAAAATCCCTTTCTTTAGCCCCCTCGCATTGCTTATCCGTGCTTTTTTTTTCTTGATCAAAACTTACCAAAGATTTGTCTGTTTTAGAGGTATTTTCAAAGAGCCAAACTTACTGATCCTATCTCCTGGGCATTTTTTCTGCTTGACTCTGTGATACTTTTATCTCTAAATTCTCCCCACCCCCAGGGTTTCTGAATCTGTCTTGTGGTTCTGCAGAGTTTTGACTAGCTGAGAAGTTACACATGTGGAAAGGATAGTCTGTTCAACAAACACTGAGACCCTGTACTAGGCTTGCTGGAGATTTCAGGGGCACAATCCAGGCCTGACTCTACAAGATCTCATGATTCTAGCCTAGTGGAAAGACTTGACAAAATAGACAATTGCAAATTCCAAAAACAAAACAAATAAACAGACTTTTGTGTCCTTACTCTCCTGTGGAGGCACCTGGATGATAAATGAAGCCAAGATTATTGCTTATTTTGCTCTCCCTCAGAAAGCAGCTTTGTTTTAGGTTAAGCCTACTTAAAAGTCACAAACAGGCCTCCCTCTGAAATATTTGTGGCCTTTTCCAGCAGGGAGGCTGCAGCCCACCCTGCCACATCAGCAGTCTGTCTGCCCAGCAGTATTTCATACCTGGCCCTGTACCCCAAGCCTTCTTCCCCAAAAGCCTTGCAGGAAAGTGAAAAGGAAATACCTCTTCTGCAAAAGCAGGGACAACAGACCTTAGACAAACCATGGTCTGCAACTCTGTACATCAGTGTGACTCCTGGGGTAAAAATGATACACATATGGTACCCAGTGACCAACCACAAGAGTCCATGAGACCTAGGCCTGGACCTCTTTTGGAACTAGTCAGTGCCCTACTCTGGGCCTCAGTTTCCTTAAAGGTAAAATGTAGCCTTTGAAGCAAAGATAATTTTTCCATCCTTGGAATCCTAAGAGTTTCTTTATTCCAGGGTCATAGGGTCCTCTTGGACTCACTTTAGGTAGGTGGCTATACGCTTGAGTAGGTGGAAGGATACTTTCAGTAGAGCCTGGGTATGTGCTGTATGCTTAGTATACCATGTGAGCCCAAATATTGCCTCTGTCAGGAAGCTTTTCTCGGTTTCTTCTTAGAGATTGCCTAGCGCTCTTCACAGTCAACTGCTGCTAGGCAGACTTCCTCTTAGTGACTGAATTCCTGGAAGCCATGGCATGAGAGTTTCTCCTGCCTGGAAGGGAGGCTTGCATTGTTATTTATCTGGCTGGTATTGGTTAGAATCTCAGGCAGCACTAGGCCTTTCACTATACAGTAGACAGTCTGTCATGAGGGAGACCTGACTAATAGGAAGAAAAGTGGGTAGCACTAAGCACATAATTCTGGAGATACACAACTATGGACTGTGGCATGTGCTACAAGAGAATCTCGGAAGGATTTGATGCTGGCCTGGGAGAACCAACATTCAGGCTGAGACCTGAAGGTAAGGTGTAAATGTCTGAGCAGTAAAGTAATAAATAATAATATTTCTTATATCTAATCAAGCATCTTTGTTCTCACAAATAAAGAGACTGGATTGAAAATAAAATGAAAGACCGCCAATATCTGCCTGCCCTAGAATCAGAACTCAAAAAGTCTTTGTGGGGCAAAAGAGGTCAGTCTATTTAAAGTGAAAGTACTAACCACTGGGAGATCTGAGGCTGAGTTTCTGGTGGCAGGCACCCAAACAATCCTGAGAACTTTTCAGTTTCCAACTGACTGGAAACTATCTTGAATGAAGACTTGGTAGAAGTTGGACAGTGACTCAATCCACACCTTGTTTAAGGTAGGATTTGCTCAATAGGGAACAGCCCAGCATTTGAGCAGTGAGAGTAGATGGGCTGCTAAGAAGGCCACTAACCTGCCTAGTTCACTGGGAATGGAAAGTAGATGGAAGGAACAACCCATGGGTGAGGAAGGAGAAGGCAGGAAAAGTGTGGGCTGGGACTTGAGGAAGTAATGAGAGGTGATAGAAAAGAAGTTATCTCTCCTTGAGCCGATACAGGGAAGGAGGCCAGAGAAGATTCATGTGTCCCCAGGTGAACCAGAACCCAGACTGTTGGCACTGTGGTGCTTCCACCCCACCAAAATAAATGAGTCACTGCTCTGAAAAGAAAAAAAAAGATCTAAGAAGTGCTATCCTTAGTACATGACGGACAACCCTGACAGAGGCCTGTCCAGCCTTGGTCTAGCAAGCCTCCCTGTCCAGTGTCTTCGTGAAAACTTAAGGAAGGACAGAGTTTGGTCTCCCAAGGTCCAGGGGCAGAGTTCAGTATGTTGAGCAAAACTTCAATTATAGACTAGGCTCAAGCAAAGGGGAAAGGCTGGCCAAGCAACCCCTGAAGATTAGACAGAAGCCCTCATTGCCCTTAGGGACACTGGGAAAGGAACTCATACATTGAGTA